CAGGCTGGTTATGCACTCTTGTGTCTGCATACTTAATTGGATAAATAAAAGTTAAACCCCGAAAGTGCTGCTACTGATAACTGAGGGATAGCAAACATACGAACTTTACGAACAATAGGATGAAGTATAGAAACAGAGTGATTGTGGCCTCGTGCTGTACAACGCGCTTCGACCTCGGATTATACGTAAACGTCCCGTAAAAACGTTATCTTTTTATCCACTAGCATCATCATCGTTCCGCCTATCCTGGTAGAGCATGGATATGCTCGCTGCTATGTTGACTGGACAGCTACAAAGGTAGGACCAGGACATGTGGAGGCGGCACGGACACAGGCGCTGCTTATTGAAAGAATGGCCTAAATTACAGACTTAGAGGAGCGGTTACGTGCATGTTTGTCTGTATCCACGAAACAGCAAGTCAGTCAGTTGCACTTAGAAGAGAATGTAGGGGAAGAGCAAACTACGACTAGCACCTGAAATTCGACCGAGCTTAGGTAAAAAAAAACACCCACATACACATGTGCTGCTGGTGCTAGTATGAAAAACTATTCTATTTTGGTGAGACTGTTCTATTATCAGTAGATATTAAAACATTCCTGACTATATACAGAAAGGATGCCAGCATGCTGAAACGTCTAGTTGTGGGGAAAAGCATTTTTAGCGGTAGCCGCTATATAAATATATATATATATATATCGAATAATCAATGTTCGCAACGAGCCTGGTCCGTAGTATACAAATGTGTTCGCCACTGATTTATCGGTTGATCTTATCCGTGCTGTTCTTGTATTTCCCCACAACGGTTCCTAAAGGACATAGAGCACTTCGTAGAGGTTGTTCGAAGTCTAGCGTACAGGTTAGATATCTAGCTTGTACGCATAGATGCTAATTAACCATTCATCTGTAAGACGGAGTAATTATCCTCACTGCTCGTGCCATGTCTTCGGTCGAATGGCGCTAATGCTTGTTTAATATCAATAGAGGCTACGATTACAGAAGCGCAGTTATCAATAAATGTATAGGCCTTCGGACATGAATAGTTGTCCAGCAGGCGTCGCCGAGAGACCGACCTTGAAACGAATGCTTCAAGCTGTGTGAGTTTTAACGTATGCCCAGTTCATAGTTAACAATAAATTGCATCAAGTTGAAATTTTCCTCCGTGTTATATTCTCGTTCTTTCGATAACAGTTCCAAAAGCCAAAAAATGACCTTTCCTTTCTATTTTCTATTTCTTTCTCGGCATGAACCTTGCTAACGGGATCAAGTGCATCTGAAAACGTTTCAATTGGCCAACACGTCTAAAGATTTTATAAAGGTTTTAGTCTAAAAGTGTACGGGGACTATTGTAACGGTACGTTTTCAACCGGGCCACAAATCCAAGGCGAAATTAACGTCCTCTATGCTGTTTTGGAAAATTTTGTGTTTGCCTAAGAGGTCGTTTAAAAGCGTCTGCGAGCGTCAACGCTCAATGCATTGTCTCGTACATGCAAAGAGAGCGAAGCGTTTGTTTCGCCAGGCTTCCTAGCTCTCCCATAGCCGATGGCGACAAAAGCGCCGACGAAATTGATATCTAGCCACAACCCGGTTCAGTCAAAGAGTCTCAACATTAACGTGCACAACCCGTATGGTCATATTTGTCCTACCTGTCTCTCCCGGCGAGAAAAATAACATAGTATCTGAAAAAAGAGCCTGAACCATAGGCTTTCCGGGTTTCTCATTGAATTACACTGCCATTGATGTTACTCTCGGCGCCGATGCAGGCCAAACTTGCCTAGTACCTTACAGCGAGTGGGTAATTGGCCGCGGACCCCTCCGAGACCGCGTTATATTGTCGGAGTCGTTCGGCGTATGTTTATCCATAGCGTTAGCCTTCCTAACCTAGGCTTTAGAAGCATCGTACTATGTCGTCAACTGGAGCGGGCAGCCCGAAAAAAAGGGAAGCACTCACTTTTGCACTCAGTCTTGAGCTCTAAATCCTCAATAAACTAAAACTTGACTTGGTACGGACTCTAACAGAATTATGACTCAGTGTAAAGATTCTAGAAAGTTATCAAAACCTAATGTTATAAACTGATGGTACTGTGATGAAAAGCCTACTTTTAAAAAGCGTTCATTGAACATAGTGATTTATGCTGAATTTAAATATATATTGACACAATTTAGTGAGGTACGCTCTGACTTCTCGTTGATACTAGCTAGCGGCATAAACAGAAAAGTTTTTTTTTAAGTTAATTTACACTCAACTCGTGCTTGAAGCATGGTACTCATTTGTCGATTCAATTATTCCTTCAGATCTTACCCAATGCGTCCTTTCCATACGATGCCGGCTGATACTATGCTAAAAGTTTCATATTTGACAAAAGTAGCTTGTGATACTTATGTAGTAAGAGAGTGCTAGCCTAAAATAATAGGCCAATTGCTGTGTACGCCAATAGAGAACCGATAGGCATGATTTTGTTCGTCTTAATTCACGTGCAGCGTATTTAGAAATAGTACAGTTCTATGCGCATGTACTACATAAAATCGACATTTTTAATAATCACATCTAAAACCAATATATAGATGTAACAAAATTAACAGAGGTAATTTTTTTAATAGGTGCTTTTCGGTTCATTGCCTGTTCATATAGGGTTTTGAAAGCCTGTAGGCCTTCGTTTGACCCTGTCGAACTTTAAGTTTATCGTTGGGCATTCTCGTTGGAAGCTAGAGGACGAAAATGATTTCAACAAAAGTGACGATTGCCGATATTTTAGCAACTTCATCGTTTATGTTAACGCCATTGCTCTTTAGGTGCGAATGGCAGCCAAGACCGCAAGACACAACAATATACTCAAGAATGGATATTGAAGGCGCCGACTTTGCGTGTCTTCTGTGATTTATGAGACGCTGCGTGAAAAAATGCTGAGTGAAATACTTTGACAACTAGAGAGAGAGAGAGAGAGAGAGAGTGAGTGAAACTAGAGAGTAACTTTATCGAAACAAGTTTATTATTGCACGAAAAAAGGTCATCGCATAGGGTTAAACTAAGCATTTTCTACCTTGGACACTCTCCTCGATAATAAACTTGGCGATGTTAGTGCCAAGAAGCGTTGCGCCCTTTTTGGCAGACCTTGAAGGTTTCGTTTCATCTATGCGTGTACACGAATGCCAGGCAAGTCAAGCTTTCGATACTTATCACCCTATTACGGGCCTTCATATACTCACTCGTGTAATTAAGGGACCACAATCTAATAGAACCCATATTGGCTTGACCACAATTCACTGTGTCAGTTCACAGTTCCTCTAGTTATGCAGGAGACAGGTACTGGGTTTTATGGGGAATACTAACTGTTCAACAGATGAATAGGAAACGCGCAGGGAAGGGGTGTGTGTTATGGAGAACTTCCTATTTTTTTTTTTAATTATCGAAGAAATTCGAATTTGTCACTCGAAGTACATTTGGGACATCGTTTCCTTTTTATCCATCAAAATCCGCCTTCATGTCGTTGTCGTCGTTATCATAGATTATATAAGTTTATTAAGCTTTTGTCGCTTTATATGGCTCACTTTGATTCATTCTATCTAAAATTTTAACCCATGTAACGGATATGCTACGCCCAGTGGAAGGCTGATGATGCCTATTTAGTTAGGAAGTGCGTTAGCCAAGCAAGAAATGGCAGCACTGAAGATTTGCGGAGGCGGTGCGCAAGAAGTCGTAAATAGATCTCGTTTTTGTGCGAAAGTATGTAGGGCATTGGCAGTTTTCGGATTGTTAGGCCTTCGCTTCAATTTTATACAAGATACGAACCAGAGCGTTTGGCGAATATTTATGAGACAACTATATAATTATACTACAGTATCATAACATGTTACACTATTTAAAGCGGCAAAAAATAAAAACTGTTTATTGTTGCGTGGATCGACTTATGCGTACTGATGTTATGGAATAGCTATATGAGTTTGGCGGCTGCATCGCTTTTTTTTTGATAGGTTTTTGATTTATGATAGGTTCATGCGAACGACACGAACTGGTTTCTTTCCTCGAATCAGAACAAATAAAAAACACTAAGTACATGTTTCTCTCTCTCTGTTTTTTAGCTTCCCTTTCCTGCCGTACGACACTCGTATTGAAGCAAAGCAATCTAGACCGCACGAACCCCACACTCCAGTGTAAACACTTTTGCAACTAAAGACCACCTCATTGAAAACAGCACGAAATAGCTATTACAAAGATATTGAACTATAATACCCAGGGATAGTTAAAAACATATTTGCAACAACTAGTAAAAGGAAGTTACTATACAGAATTTCGCATAATAAAATACGGTCTGTCTTCGTATATATAGAGTCTATGTTTAAGAAAAGACCTTAAGGGATATAAGCAATTCGTGATCTCGCTGGAATAGATCTGATCCGAATAAAAATAACTCTGTGCTCTATTTCATAGCGCGAAATTTCCAAATAATTTGTAACAATGAACCGCATGATTTAATCTTTAACGCATACATACAGTACTATTCTGTAAAAAAAAAACATTTTTATTCATTCGTTATACGTTAATTTAACCGACGTGAAAAATACTAGATTTGCGTCATTAATAAAAAACATCCTCAGATAATTGACTGGACGATCGCTATGAAGGCTTGTCGTCTGTTTAAGTCATTCGCTTACCCAATAGAATTTCTTCCTCAGTTGCAGCCTCATTTGAAACAGAAGTGCTTTTCACCATAGCGTACACCATACTCCTTCCGCTTATCTTAAATAATGTAGACTTCGAAAATAAAACAAACGTTCCAGCCTGCGTTCTACAGAACGCGATACTTATACTTCGCGTCAAAAAGTTTAGAAAATGAAAGTTACCCCGTAGCCAATATGAAAGGCCGGAAAATCCTTCATTCATAAGGACGCTGTCACCTAGCTAAGCTTTACCGCAAACACAGTTCTATGACTAACAAAAGGCTATCCTTTTTTTTTCTATTTTCATATTCACTGTAACTACGGCTTCGAACTCCACCGTACAGACCGGCATACACGAGCAGCCTGTTCAATTGTTGGGAGATCCTGCTGCAGGAGGTCGAGGTCGATTCACAGGTGCACGGCGATATTGCACGTTCGCTCTCACAAAATGTGGGCGTGATATTACTCGAGAAGACTTTCTTCCGGAAGATACAGTCGCGAAAAATTTTTCTCCACCGCGAGTCATTCGAGACCATTCTTACAAAAGCCGAAGAACTCTTAGCTAAGGTTTGTATAAAGCCAACAGTAGGTAGTGTTTTTGCAGATGTGTTATTAGTTTAACAAAAAAAAAAACACCATACAGCAACATACGGTGCATACGGAAACCTGCACAGCGAGCATTCGACCATGTAAGCTAGTATATGGCTTTCAAAAATCAACCTGGAAAATATGCGTACTATAAAAGTATTTTTAAAAATTATTTAAAAAAATGTTCACTTGTTTTCGAGTCGGTATATAATCTGAAAATTCTTACCTATCCCAAATATTGTTAATTACATGTCCGGTGCCAGCATTCATTAGTTCTTCTATTTTATTTATATCCTCTACCACGTAGGACTTCTATAGGACAAACGTTTAAGGGTTAAAATTTTTAATAGTTTTTGATAATACGCACTGAAAATGCGTAATAAATCTTTGCAAAAAAAACTCTTCATTCTAAAGAAGAATGCCATAAAGATGACATCGTGCTAATTTGAAGGTATGACGTCAAAGCTAACTTATAGACCAGCCATGTTCCTTTAGTGATGTGCAGATCGTATGAAGGCTAGGGAAAGTGAATGACCTTTACAAGCTTTCCTTAAAACTACTGTTCCATGTGAAGGGAGAAACATGTTTAATCTTCTGTAAAGCCTTCATTACGAATAGGCATAATAAAAAAAAATACCCGACTGCCTTTTTTTTTTTACCTATAGAGCGCTATAGTGATAAACCTGTGATAAACTTCACTTAAATATGCTTTTGGAAGTTGAGTCAAGGGGTCATTTCCGGCTAAACTTAAGGAGGGAAAGAAATATAGCGAAATTGATTGTTATTATTCTAGCATTTGGGAAAATATCCAAATAGGACTATGCAAATCATTGCAAGCAGCGAGAATATAGCTTGTTTAGATTATTAAAAAAAAAAACTTTTTATTTAAACACCTGGAAATTCGGCCAAATAGAAAAAAATGCTTTCAAAATCCAGTTTTTGTAAACAAGAAAGATAACTAAGTCAGCCGCATGGAATCGTCATTTTTAAATATATTTCTACATATGTGTGTACGTATACAATTGGTTTCATGTCACAGAACTAAGCCTGGAAGTAGCATATCTGTCTGCATATATATATATATATATATATATATATATATATATTTGAGACAGATACTACTCTGAAAATTGCTGCAAAATCCTCAAAAAATTAACGATTTCAACATGAATGTACTGAGATTTGAATGATGTGCTTTGATCGCTGGTTAGGGGGTAGCTTAGTTATAGGGCTCTTTTATTCGTTGTTGTCTCAGTCGTAGGAATTGCGTCTGCAAACGATACGGCCACCCCAGTGTTGAATTTCACTGAATAATAATAATACGAACCTAGATCAAAATGACCGTTTTTTTTTTGTAAAAAAGCGTTAATTGCGCTGATGCCATACATCAGATGCTCTTTCGCATGCCTATCAGTGAGCTCGCATTACTCGCTCGAAGCGCGAACCGCTGGCAGCTGTGCTCTCCTGTGATGAATATCGTGTGTTAATACTAGAGCCAACTTTGGAAGACAACTATTTCACAGTGAGGTAATATCGTTAACTCGATAAGTTGTCAGCCGTAATACATTCAGAGGACAAAAAATCGATTGGAATGTACGCTAGCAAGAAACCTTGAGCATGCACGAACAAAATATAACTTAAACTACGTACATTTCATTTCGTGCGCGTGTGGAAATCTATTGAGACATTCTGTAAATATTTCGTTTCCTTTTCTACTTTATTATTATTACATTTTGGAAACTTCCCCTTAAATGTTTTTCCAAAAATATTTAAAATCAACACAAAAGCAAAGGGTCTTAGACGAGACGATCGTTAGGCAACGTCGTGAGTATACGCTATATGAAACTATCATTAGAGGCTCCCGTCAATTGGAAGGACTGATGTGTGAACGATTGATTAGAATTAGAGATTTTACTCAGTAGTAAACCTTTTACCAACTTCGTTTTCCTTTACTAACCCATAAATGAACATGCATGCGCACGGAGTTTTTCTTTTCGTTCAGAGGAAACGAGCGTGTGCTTTTTCTTCTGGAGTCTATTGCTACCATTAGTCAGTGTATACTACTAGACGTGCTTTCAACGGCAGCGTTACGACAACAACCTGTTCTTCAATATGGTTGTTCAAGGCTCGTGCCACGCTGCTAGAAGCTGCAGGACCATGCAACTTAACTTTACGCCCTCTGGCTGAGGATGAAGGAGCATACGGCAACTATCGCATGGAGTGAAACATGAATGGCCACTGTCTCATTCTTTTCGGGGGGAGGGGGAGGGGGGTCACCTTCCCCGTCCAACCCTATCATTGCATTGCTCCTTCCTTTTTTACTCTCGTTGTGCTTTTCTGCTGACAGCGTCGACATTAACAATATTGAAGGCGTTTGACTGTTTCGCAGGTTGTTTTACTTGTTCTGCCCGCCTTGCCGTCAGGCACGGCTATATGATCATAGAAAAAGGCACCAAAACGCCGAAACATCTCTCGATGTTTGAATTGAATAACGGCCTACAAAAGGACTCTGTAGAGCCCGCAGGGGACAATGAACAAGGACTGTGCTTTGACAGGGTAGGGAGCTACGCCTAACTGCCTACTTAGAGTACCTTGTTCTATTTACTTTCTGGGACACGACGATTATCGCAAACACAAACGCTTCGGTTCACAACAGTATTTTTATTTGGTAGAAGAAACGGCGCTTTTTTCATTTTGTCAGTAATGGTCGTAACCGTATCGGTACCAACAAGAAAGAGGGGAAGAAACCAACGGATACAGTTGAATGAGATACGAATACGTGGAGAGGAAAAGAATTGAGCGAGCGGATAATGGTCTAGTCTATCGTATAAGGTCCGTTCGGGTGAATGAGATCCAACTTATCTGCTCTTCTACTTTTCTCTTTTCGTCACCCTCATCATCACCGTCGGTTATTTGCTCTGCCGAAGGTAGGTCGCTGCTGTTCCTCTACCTGAACAATTAAGCCGTTAATTCGAAGCGATCTCATCTGGTGGTAACTAAGTGGCTTCAACTTATGGTGCCGCTGCTTGTTTTTCAACGATATCTAGCTGCAAAATCGGAAGCCCTTTGCCGGAGTGTCGTAGCAAAAAATGTGCGCGTACTGAGCCTTTAAGCTAGTTCTGGTGTATTAAGTATTGCTCTGTTACATCTGTTATTATAACTATACGCTACGCGACTCAAATGTTTGATAACAACACCATAGGTAGACTTGAAGGTGTACGATGGGATGGGGAGTGTACTGGTCGGCACAAGACGTTGAACATGGAGAAAAAAGCTTGACGAAAATCATGTACCACCATATGCTCAAATATGAAAGGTGCTACGTCATCCCATCTCAGGAGGGTTTGTTTACAGGAGTGGTAAAAACGTTACTGGCTGTTCGCTGGCCATCAAGATTTAAGCCAATCCACAAATGGCGAGGACTCCCCTTTCCTACACCTTTTACTTCGGTTCTTATCAATCAATTTATTGATTGAATAAGGAAGTTGAGCTGGAAAAAAGGGAACCTGAGAGCAGCAAGTAGGTAAGAGTTAAAGAACGTCTTGTTTTGTTTTGACCTTTAAGACTTAATGGCTATGATCTGTACGTAGCCTCCCCGTTCTCTTTCGCCGCAGAAAACAATGGATGATAGTGGCTAATATGTAACCAGTTCGTAAATAGAGGCAAATGCGTTTAAGGTAAAGTATTGAGACTGACCTTAGGGACACAGCAGTATTTATGGAGAATGCAGTTCATGGTAATCTTGAGTTATGGATAGAAATTTTAGCGTAAGATAAACGGTTTTTTTTTTTAATCTAACTGCTTTATGGGAACGAGCAAATGTTCTCTCTACATAACAAAACTAGTCCTAGTATTATTACTGTTGTAATCTATAATATCTACTACTAAGGTTTTCTGCAGCATAGAGAGGCTAATATGTTGTTACAAAAGCGGACAACACTGAAGAGAAAACACTTAACATTGCATCCATTCACATGGTGACTAATGAGTTATATATCCATATATCAGCCCCTTCATCACCGACCATGTACCACGAGCCGCGGCCGCAGCGTGATGACAGTGTATGTGTACGTGCACGTTACCTTGATGACGGGATAGAAAAGGCGTTGGCTTTCTGGAAGTTGCTAGACTAAAGTAAATTATTGCTAAAGCTATAGAATATTTATTGCTTACTAGCAACCTTCTATGATCTTTGTCCGAATGCCGCATCGATATGTAATATGGTATCGACTATTAAAAGATAATAAAGAAAAAAAAAACCCGCCAAGAACAACAAGTGAAAATACAGATATACTTATCCGCTTTATTCATACGTTCATTCATCTCTGACCTGTATAGCTCGAGACTCTGACCACTGTCGTGCAGCACACGCAACAGGATTGTCGATTGAAAGGGGCTATGAAATCAATCGACAGGATTCGGCAGCTGTCTCAGGTGGTTCAGTCTGTATACACCTGTGCAGGTAAATGGATCGTGGAGTGCTATTTATATATATGGATGATTTCTTTAAGCTTCCTTCGCATCAGTATGCGACATACGTGCAACTATCGCTGTTACCATCTATCTGTTTATTGATGACAGCCTCCCATAGGTGCTTCGAATAATTACGTCATAGTGTATTCGACTCGGAAATCAAATAATTTTTGAACTAGTTGGACTAGAACGATCATTTTTTTTTTAATATGCGTTAAATGTACTCTTCTTTATTTTTGAAAATGAAGGATTGAATTTTCGTTTGGTCAATTCAGAAATAATTGAAGGATGGCAACCAGGTCAGGCATTATCACCCAGTGACCAGACTGGGCACTTCCAATTGTCGTACCAATGGCTCATGAATCTCTTGACAAATTCGAGGTCCTGGACTGCATTAGTTACGACTGAGCCTACCCAACACTGCCATCGAGCTCGATTTCTTTCCAGATAACATCACTTTTTTCACCTCGTTCCTCTCCGCTTAGCTATATAAATTGAACCATGGCAACTGTGTGCCCCAGGAGGCTTTTTTGCTGATTAAAGCTCCAAAGTGGAATACACCACACGCATTTTTTCCAAGTGGCCCGGAGCTAATTTTTGATTTCGCATTCTGGGTATTTGGGTTATGATTCTTTGACACCTTACATCGAAAACGCCAGTTTAAGTCGACAGAGCCCCTAGATTCACAGTTCCGCTTTCGTCAAGAGCGTATTCAATTGTGGTCAAACGTTCTTGTTTTCTGGGTCTTTACATATTGTCATTTTTAACTGATCTCGGATATTTTAATCTCCCTTCTTGAAACGTTTACGTTATTCATGTACCGTACATTCGCTTAAGGCTTCTTTGCCCCAATGTCTTCACCAACCTCCGATGAACTCCGCGGCGCAAACGAGCAAAGATTTAACCAGTAGACATTGATTTTTGAGATTAAAAGATGTTTTCCTTTTGAATCAACTTCTTCTGAAGTAAACTTCATAGGTTTTTCACTCGCAAATTTCTAAAAACGGTGGTATTTCGTCTGCTAGCGTTACGTGTGTTCAAGTCCGCCGGATCAGGATACATCAAACCTGGGTAAAAACCTATGCACCACATTTGTTTCAGTGAATGCAAACGGCTTCGTTCTTTTTCTTTCGTAGCAGTATGCAGACTTTTCTTATAGAACAAGAGAAAAGCATCGGATAAACGGCAATAGTTGAGAATTAGACAGTGAACAATGTTAACGGTGCATCGACATGAACGCCCAGGTTTAAATTTGCTTTCGATGGTCAAAAGATAATTTTATTTATGAACGATTTATTAGTTAGATATCTATGTTGATTCGGCATGAATCACATTGAAGACTAAGATAATCTTAATAATAAGAAGATAATCTTTAGAGAATCAAACATTCGTTCTAGTTTCAACTAAACGTGTTAATTATTAACTCTAATCTATCATGAAGAATGTAACAATGACCAGTCCGCAGCTAGCATTTAGCACCATTTATATTTTTAAGTTTATAACATGTATACTGTTTGCATGGGGGCAAGATGTATAGGATTCAAGCGACAAATGTACGTTTAATTTGTATATTTTAGCCTGCACACTACGTTGTGAAGGGTCGGCATTTGCTTAACGAATGGCTGAAGCGCGCGTCGAGGCAGCCAATTCCAGAAAGGTCTGCGTCATAAAAAAGAACGACTATACTGAGAATTACAGTGAGCACTCGCATAAAGCTGAGGCACCAAAATCTAGGATGGCCGAATTCGTACTAGCTGCTCACTCAAAGTGGATCTGGTATCAGCACCGATATCAGGAATCGGTGTTTCTAATATTTCCTTGCTAAATAGTGCATCTTCTTTACGTGCATATGTGTTTTATAGAGCTGGCGACCCTCTATTTATAGGATGAAAGTCGTTTATACAAGAAAAAGCTTTGTCGGTTGTAGTGTTAAGTGTTTGGCCTAAAATATATACAGAAGCCACTATGTAAACAGGACTGTTTGATAAAAGTTCTCTTGGGACCTTGTTTGTTTATATCGCAAACAAACATCCTTTTGTTGCAACTCAACACTTAATCCTGTACTGTAACAAATACTAATTCTACCGATTCCAGTAGAAAGCAATAAACAAGTGCACGTTAATATCTGTCAGGAACACATCTGTCCTCACTGATCAAATACTGTGCTGGCATATACAGGCGTATCGACGTTTCTGTGCAATTGACCTATCCAGCCCCATATACACCCATATCCTAATATGATTATAAGCGATACGTGTTTCAAAACACACGTTTTTGCAAAGAAGAATTGATTTATTATGCATAGAGATAAAACACGTACGAAACGGACGTTGTCAGGAAAAATGAATCGGTTTTTGTTCGGCAGGAGTTATCTGTCCTGTATTTGTTCCTCTAACATCGCCTATACCTTTTAGATCCCAAACGCCTACGCTAGCAAAAGTTTGCATCTGTAACATCTGTGTGGCTACGTAAATTAACATTATTAATGCGTTTCTGAAATTCAAAATTCAGCTGGCCGGCAAAAATATCGAGGCTTAAGTTACGACGTTAAAGTGTTCAGCCACTGAAGTTTACTTTCCTAGCGGTGTTTTGTACGACAACCAAAATGAAACCGAGGTTAAAGGTGCGCGAACCTCTTAAAAGGATTTTAAATAAACGACCCCCCTGCAATAATATAATGGAACAGCTTGAAAATAGCTAAATAAAACTTCGAGAAATTGCACGCCGCTGCATACTAGAAATAGATAGAGCACACATCTAAAATCCGCCTTGTCGGGTCGGCAAGCACCAGTAACACTGTACATTACAGCAAACGATGCGAGGGGCTGGTTTAGGGTCCTAAATTGCAACCGGTTGAAATATTTACTTGTTGAGAGATACGATGCTGCGGTGGATTCCCGAGAATAGAAGGGCAAAGAGGGTTAGACGTTGCCTAGTCACGTTACATTTGCGACGCTGCATGTATCGCGTCGCGCCGAGCTATAGCGTGATTATTGTGGACGTCAGATTCGTAAAAAATATGCAGCGCTGACAATGACAGCTAACGTATAGCTAAGACAAAAATGGTATCTCGGTACGAATTTCCTGGGTAATGGTTCTCTTATCGACGTCCAACCCAATCCACAACGGCTTTTGTGGATTCACGCATACTACATATCACTGGATAAAGTAGCTAGCTGACTCAAGCTGAAGGCTTGTGCTGATAACGAAAGTGTGCTGAAAGTTCTTTTTCTCGTTTCGTCGTTTTCGGTTCGTACTCAACATACGTTGCCTCAGAATGTAGATTGTACATACATAATTTTATAAGCTATAGATAATTATCTACTCTTCTAATTTCGCTTCTTTTTACAGTGTCACGACAACTACAGTATTGCCTATGCTGCCTTTGCACAAAGTCGGAGTCCGCAGAAACTGGCGGAGTATTATGATGCACACAACCTGTACGTGCAACAGTTGCATGCCACTAATGGCATGATCGAACAGTATTATAGCGTGACGCTGCCCAAGCTCCTCGAAGAACTTGAAGAAGTGAGTACCTTGATAAAATAGATTTTTCAATAGAAGACTGATTAATTCTTGTGCGAAACAAATGCGTGATGTTCTGTTATACGTGTAAGCAATACTCAGTACAAACACTTTGCGAACCTCCTTTCGCTGCAGAATCCGTTGCTTTTTCTTCGATCGGTTTGGATTTTCGCACGTAAATTGTCCTTAATTTACGTTTCTAATTTTATGAGCTCTAACACGTCATAAGAAAATATTACCTGTTAAACGGTGAGATAAAAGAACAATACCAGTAGAGCAGGCAATCTATTGCAAGTTGATGATATCAACTCTCTGTCCCCAGACAAGGGTCGTTTGTATTTTTAGAGCTTTTCCGTCGATCGGTGTTGCATTGCTCTCGATACGATTTCGAAAAGGCAACTTCAAGCCCGAGGCCCTATTAGTAAGGTCATGTTGATTTTCCGGATACAAATAGCCATATGACACATACTCATTCGCATATTTACGTAAAATAAGGTCAACTAAGGCTTTTTTAAGTCGTCGAGGGTCAGCTTCCCAAGACAACCATTCGATTTCACATGGTATGCTTCCTTTGCCTGTAGATGAAACAATTAAGCTTTCGGTTTCGTCCTGAAATGTTTTTCCTTAATAGAGTTTCACTGTGTAGCCTACGTAAGGAACATGACTGCTACCGGAGCTGCATCTAGTTCACAAACAGGACAATTGATAGCAACAACTGAAAGTTTTTAAGGTATACATCGATCCAGCTATCAGAGTAATTTATGGGAGCGATTCAGAGCCTTTTCTTCAATATATTGCTGAATGAGCTTCCGGATAAACAACTTTAAGGGTAAATTTACCTTTGATGGCGTGTGTAATTTCATCTGTTTAGGATAAAGCATGAACGCGACCAGGGCATCTGCCTGGAACTGGGCGGAGAGACGGCAGAGTAGTCTAGCTCAGCATCGGTTCCTAGATATAAAGGTCTGACTAGTTGTCAGACGTACAGCTCACAAGCTATAAGTACGTGCAGGTTCATCTCCTGCGCCCCTGTACTCAAAACTACATTACAGTATAATGTATCCTCGGGGAGCTAAAACGTGCGCTCTATATATTATGTAAATGTGTAAAAAAAACTCTGGTATGCTCTAGCAACCCACGAAACGGTTCTATTGCGTGTTAGTTGCAGATAGCATAGTTTTTAAAGCAAAATAGATATTTAGTAATACGAAATATTTAATTTGCCTAGCGACTTACCTTTAAGAGAAAATAAGTTCTGTATGTACCTACTATATACAGAATTTGCTCAAAGCGAACACTTTCATTTTCCTCATCTGTTGATATTTCTAGCTAAGCTTTCAATTTAAGCCCGTCTGTTATGTCAACAAATGGTTGAGTTTTGCGCGTAAAACCAATCCGACTTTGTGGCCTCTTGTCAAGTTTGCCTCGATACCATTCGATCAATTATTGTTTCTCTGGGTCGTTTGTATTCTATAACACTCGCAAAGAAATGATTGCAATAAATGACGGGTCCATCATTTACTGTAGTTTCATTCGGATAAGAAGCTATCAAGATCCAGCACTGGTGAGCAAACGACGAAAGCACAAATGTCCAATGCCGTCATCAAAATTACAAAGCTCGCATCCGTATGTTTCTAGAAGCTTCCAACAAAAAACAATGTGGGATAGCAACGAATAATATAAGTTAGAAGGTTAACCACGAAGCTATCTCATGCCAAAAACGATGACTCCGTCATTAATTAAAATGCTTAAGTTCAGCGTTCTAGGTATCGAACATCGGGCCTACAAATGCGTTTGCCTGATTCGTAAAACTATGAGATTAGTATTAGTGCAATGTTTTGCTTGATCCGTTAGCTTCTGTGCAATACGTGCACCATCTTCCGTCTTCAATCGTGAATTAAAACTACGTCGATTTACTAGTTTAGCTGAAAATAAATTGTAATCATTAAAAAATCGTCTAGGAAACCTATGTTTTTTATTTTTTCCTCAAAACAACTAGACAAAATCCTCGTAGGTTGTAAAAAGCAACGGTCTACTCCTTTCTCTATTCAACAGTCTATAATTAAATGGATGCAGTTTCCTCGTGCTCAATAGCCATTATACCGAAAGCACTAAACCAATAGATTTGCACGGCTATCTGCAGAGCCAGGTACACCTTCAGTAGTAATTCCTATTAAATCTACTATAACAAAAATAGATAAATCGATTGCATTCGACCAGTCGCTTGCTCTGTTTATATTTAACTATTCTCGGAGAATCCTGTAAAACGTTAAATTGATGTTATAAGGCCAACTACCCTCCGGAATCTCTTGGATCAGAGATTCTTACCCCCACTTCAGGCTTGACAAATGGATATGGGGAGACAGCGAACGGTATTTTCGACACTTTTATTTGTCTTTCATTGCGGTCAAAAAGTTATAATCGACACAAACCAAAAAAAAAACCGTATACGAACAAGACCCTATGATTGAGAGTGCTATAGAGAAGCGGCGTTCTAAGTTCAAAAGGATATCGTCAACCTAAATAACGAACTCCACTAGGCCTTTCCAGGTCAACAGAGACGGCCTTCAGCTTTTTTATAGAAGGTTGATTGTCAAATGGGCCCATATCTCTTAGCTGTAAAGTTTCCACCGTACAAAGTACTCCACGATATATATACACATACATATACTTTGAACGAAATACAGCAGATGTCAGGTATAGCGTTTTCTATTACCTGATACATTCATCTTTGAAACCTGGCTAAGGGTAATTATTTTTGATAGAAGCAAAGCTATAACAACAGCTTCGTAGAGCACTGAACGGCTTCCAGCTGTTGTAAGACTTGACCATCACCAAACGAAGAATTAGAAAGGAAAAGAAATAAATGAAAACTGCGACCTCCCGTACATTAGAGCTTTTCTCATCAATTTGAGAGCGGGTCATCTGGGAATAGCTCTCTGATCTAATGAAACGCTTGAAGTTCTCTTAAAGACAGAGGGTTCAGGATCTGATGAAGCTTAACTAGACATGTTGTTCATTGTCTCCCGTTCGGCCAGTTCCTCTATTATGACTGTTAACTACGTGATAGACCTTAATAGAGGCTGTGATGTGGCGGCGGTCAGGTGCAACGATGAGAGATCAAGACTCAATCAAATAATACATTGAACAGACTTGCCACTTGTCTGGTTGAAAAGCTGCTGCTGTTGTGGAATTGAAGGAAAGACGCAGCTTTGCTGGCCTTGGCTGGACGAAGAGGACAACTTATTTCGACGGCCCAGCGCTGCAGTGCACAACTGCTTGCTCCGATTGACGTTCATAGAAGATACAGCTCCGTAGTTTCCGCAAGTAACGACCTGTTAGTCTTAACTCTGATCTACTTAATTCTTGTTGACGCCTTTTATACTCTGCGTAAGCACTGTCCCGGTTCTATAACCCAAAATCGATTTCGAGTTTTCTACAAAATAGTAAGGTAAACAGCTGCTATAAGAACTTGAGACATTTTCGGTGAATAATTTAGCTTTGCCAAAATGAAAGCGAACCATTCTGGCCGCAGGCGTTGAAATGATAGTTGCAGTAAGAGAAATAGCCTTATGTGATATTTTGGGGAAGTGTTTACTCAGTGAAATGTTTGGTAAGAACGTTATATACAACAATATGTCTAATGCTCAAACAATGAACACTTGTTACTGTTGTTTGTTGTCTACCATTTCTGCTCTATCTGACTTCAATCCATTGGCATACGGTGGTCTTAATAAAGTAGGAGAGATAACAATAGTTAAGAATTGCTTAATTTGTTCAATTGTTGCCAAAAAATATAGTAGATTATGTCAGTATATGCCTATGCATCACCCATTAAAGGCCATATAATGTTAATATTTAATGTTAATAATAAGAAGCAGTAAATGCTTCCTAAAGTTAGAAAATATTGGCTTCCCAATACGTTTGTTTCATTCAAATATAACCTTTATCTTAACAGGAGGTAGCTACACTCAGTATTGCGCTATGTGATTGCAACGTTCATAACTTTCTTTTAATTTGTAGACTTTTCCGAAGTGAGCTCGAATAAATTTTGAGTCACTGTGAAATTCAACATCTTATGATAAGGAGGGTTCAGTTTGCTTGGATCTCGATTTCAAGGACCTGAATCCGGGTAAGACACGAGTAGTCGACAACGCCATTGTTAGTATTCGCTTGTTGTTAGCCAGACTGCTGGCGTCAACCGCTATCTACTCGTTGTACAACGTCACGAAATGACTGTTCCTTACTCCGTTCACTGCAGGAGGAAATAACCAATTAGCCTCACCGAATTCTTCTCTTTTCTGCCGGATTCTCTCCGCAGCAAACGGCAGTGCTGAGAATTGGCCGACCGCAGGCCCTCGCTCAAGGCGAAGTTCAGGTCCAATCAATTCGTTATCTTGTTTGTTGATTATACTTCGCTATTGTATATATGCTATTAGCAATGCGGCGCTCGTAGCGATTACAAGATCGAAGGCTTGTCATGGCATCACTTGCCTTTGACGGTAGGCAGAGAGAAACATAGACAGACATCGTCCTCATAGTATGTAGCCTGCTTCTTCTCTCTCTTACTTACCACTCCAAGCAGGCAGTCACCTATGTAGATATGCAATAGCAGCACTCGCAGTTCTATCCGGTCGAATGAAGGTGGTGACGCCCTTTTGTATGTATATTCATGTGTATCTGTGTGTCACATACATATGCAAAGGCATATATATGTGTCCGAGCAACAGTTACCTTAAAATTTTTCCGCCCAGAAGCCGCGTATATGAGAAATTGCAGCTGGTATTCCTAATCCTCTACCTCGACTCACCGTTTGGCCATCACTGGCCTCACACCCACCGATACCGGATTATTCTGTGCTTCTGACTAGTCTTTATAATTCTTCTACTCTTTTTTTTGTTCCTGCTGCTGCTGATGCTGCTGCTGCTGCTGCTGCTCACTCCTCCGCACTACAATATCATTTTTGCCTTGTTTAACTTAGGATATTTTCACGACCTTTGTTTTTTTTTCGGTTCTGCTCGCTGCTTTGACCTCTATTGCCATCCCCATCTTTAGCTCGGCATTTTCTCGGATATTTCTCGGATGGCTCGGACAACGATCGCTCGCATATTGATGTCGGACCGTAGACGTTAATGGTGATAATATTATTGCTGCTATTCTACTTACCTTATCCTTTTTATCCCTGTTATCGGCTTTCTCGGTAGCGCCCAGCTTCCGCCGCTTGTATTGTTGGTGCTGGGTCTAATGAGACAGTTGTCTAAAGCCATTAGAGGGAAACTCCGCCCCGTTAAGCTGCAACGCCATTTTCATACTTATTACTTATACATGTCAGTGCTAGAGTTGTTCCTTCTATTGTCGCCAACGCTCTTTATGTTGATGTTAGATAGCTGTCCAGAGCTGGATGGCCTGAAAGTTCGGCCAGCCACAGTATGTTCTTTCGCAAGACGAAAGAAAACATGGGATAAGCGAAGAAGCCAGATAAAGAAAATAGCGAACAAAATGCTCTAGCTTTTAGGACTGTAGTGGCGCCGGCGGCGATAGCGAATGGCAAAGGAAAGCCAAATGAAAACCCAAGAACGAAAATCAGAGGAAAAGAAAGTAGACAAGAAAGTGCGAACGAATAGCCTTGTGACAGAGAAGGAACAATAAACGAATAGGCTGGGCGCCCTAACAGGTTCTAAAATGTAGAGGAAAAAAGAAGCAAAGGTCGGGAAGGTGACAAGGAAGAGAAAAACATAAGGAGAAGTCCCAGGCGGGGGAAAGAGATTTGAAGACTCCACGGATTCGTTGAATAGAAGAGGAAGAGCAAAACCAACACAGAAACGTTGCTTGACTATACGAACATGAGGAAAGAATAGGATCAGACTTTTTTTTTTTCGTAGTCTTTGGATGGCGATGTCGACGGCATACGCAAAAGGTAAATGAGCTTGAGAGAACAAAGTGTGACTTTAGTTCATCTCGAAAAAACCTATGGAACATGGAAGGGCGAAACCTCTCAACGCCGTCGGAGGCACACATGTGCATTCACACAACCCTTACATATCCAAAAACAAAGTAAATGGTCGAGGATCAACAAAGCTTTTTGAGCTTCGATCTACATTTGTATCGCAACATACCGTGCATTTTGATGTAAATGTTAAATATAAATCAATAGACAAAAAAAGACCAGTAGAAAAATTGCAAGACTACACTTATAACTGTAGGAAATTAGCATTGCAGTAGCGTACGGCCTTCAAAATGGTAATTAGATCTAAGTGATAGGCAAGGCCTAACCTCTTATTACAAGAACTTTGATGAATTTTTATCATTATTTAATTGCAAAGTTGGTCTATATCACATAATTTTACGTCAACCTTACATAACAGTGGAGCTGTTTTATGAATACTTCGAGCTCGCATAGTTTTTTAGTGTGTATGTAATCTAACCAGACAAGTGCTAAAAATATGCTTGAAAACATGAAAACTGCAAAATATATGAAGTCAGCGGTTGTTTCCCCTATTGTTTTTGCTTTCTAGTAACTTCACTATATCGGAATATCATTCGTATATATTTAATCTTTTTTTTTTTTTAAATAATATATTTATATATACATTTTTTTTTGTTTGTTCGTCATACGTAAAACTCGCTGTAAATGTAAAGCACCGTTGAGGATTGCTAAAGTACGAACGGCAATATCGACTCAAAATTTGGGGTAATTAAAAAGGTGCATTTAAAACGACTAAATTCATTATATGCGCTAGGCTGAAACATGTGCCGAAATATCGTTGCGCTGGTCCTATAGCTTCGCTAAAAATTATATTACTATGATATAAGGTGTGTGATCTAATTGCATACGCCACAACCAAGCGCTGACTATAGACAGGTCGATCAACGCGCAGTTTTTGTTCACAGTAGGACGGTAGGCCTCGATTTGAGCTTCAGGCTACGAGCCGTACAGAAGGTTAATATTGCGTCTTCAAAGATTTTCTTTGAAGTATCGATAACACTGTCCTATGAGTACTTTTAACTCATGTTTGCAACTCTGGTATTTCGTAACGCGTACGACCGTTCTATACCGAACGCTCAAACAGAACCAATCGAAATAAAACAATTTTGATTTTCGGTGTACTTCTATCTATAAGATGGACAAAACACTACATGTGATTTGCTCATAATTTTCGAAAAGACTTCTGTTTATTCAAGTTACTTTGCATGTTCTGCCAAAGCCGCTTACCTAGTAAAGGATTTGCAGAAAATCCGATACAATGTTGGCTACAATATTTCCTTGGTTTTCAACGATAGTTAGAAACTAAAAATTTCATATCTTTCTAATGATTTCCCGAGGGAGGTCTCCTCCAAATCAGTTGTGATCTCTATCCCTGTTATTGTGATTAATCAATCATTTTCGCGACCGCCGGTGTCATCTAATATACGGAACAGATTCTTTCTAATTGTGAAGCTATGAGTCCTTTCTGATTGTGATACGACAGCCTGGAAGCAGCGGTCGTGATGGATGATTACAGCCACAGAATATGTTTTGGCTATGGAAATAATTTCAGTGCATGCAACCAGCCCTTTGAGATGTTATGAGGAGTTACTGCCAACGCTCCTCTGTTTCTACTTACGCTGTCCACGTTTTCCAGTTTAAAAATACATACTAGGTCTAATAAAATGCTGCAGTCGTTGCTAAACGTACATGTGCTCTCTGAAACAAGCTAAAGACCAACTTGTACAAGAACGATGTACACGGGATTGGTGGCAATGAACATACGACGATAACGTTTAGGATAAAGAACTGCTATTCGTAACCACAATCATCCATTTTCTAATATAATAATCTTCATTTTCTAGAAGTGGGTTCTTTGAAAACTGATCTTACATAAAATAGATACAAAAATGTTATGTCGTCGCTACAAGATCAATTGCATATAGGTACATCATTATTATTTCGTTATTTGTGTACACCGAAATCTACAATAATAGTAGTAATATTTTTACGCTCTACGTTTTGGTGCCTTATTGCATCGTTTGCAGGTTTACTGCGACTTGAGCAACACCATCTCGAGTTCGATTCTATCGGCAACAGAGCTTCTGGCCTGCAAAGTTCAAGAGCAGCAGGACCACTATTCTGTAGTGGGCTCAGCGTGTCGCAACGTGAATTCACGCGCGGATCTAGCGAATTTCGTGCGCACTCTTAGTGTCGAGCGAGGTGCAGGTCAACATGTCCGACATCAATACCAAACGCCAAAGGATTTACATGATACCGACCCTTCGCAGCCTCTTGTAAGTTCAGATATATCATAGGTAGCGGTTCGAACACATAGTAACGTAGAACTACATCGACTGACCCTAGCCCGGACGTAGCTATTCCGGTTGATGATGGAATTTAGCGCTCATTCCGTTTTCGTTTACGGTCGACTCGACTAAACCTCTACGGAGATGTTAGTTGAGCAACCAATTAAATTTTCTGTGCATTTATAGATATAACTCAGATGTCGCATACAAGCAATATCCGTAAAGACATGAGGTGTAGGAATGACACGCATAGCGCGTAGGTTTCACCAGATGATATACACATCAGGCTCACAATGCAGTCCTTGGCTTTGGTCATATAGATTGCCTTAAAACAGCAGTTGATTATGATATTTTATAGAGGGCTTTTGTTATCTGCATTTCAATACGTGTGCGCCATGTGACAAATGTTTGATCCGAAGGAACTGTATAGTAGGCTGTAAAGGATTTCGTTCCCTTGCTTTCTGTATGGGACAGCGTTTTAGGCTTTGTTCGTCTTGAGGTCCTAGGGTGTACTAGATCAATTTTAATAGTTCGGATGGCACCCGCTCATGCTCGTGTGCAATATTTGCCGATACCTTAAGTCCAGTAAATAGTTTGGCCATAGTCCGCCTCTATCAGCCCAGATCTCGGGATACAAAAATGCCTAAAGTTTGCCTGGAGTTTATATTGTCGAGGCCCTGCTTCTCTTCCATTCATCTTGGGCCATACAAAAGCAAACGACATGAAATATTTCGAACCACAGGCCTAACGACCGATTACTTACGGTCTTCTGCTTCCCTTTCGAAAGTTGATAAATTCTTTCTGGCACCCGATGATGTTTCCAGCAACAGAACGTAACAACAGAATTTAACAAGCAGTTAGTCTATCAGCCGCTTGCACAGAAAGCAGAGGCCTGTGGCTGATGCGATTACTAGAACGAGTATATACAACTACACGTCAGAAGAAGGACGGCAAACGTCTATTTTGGGGTGTCCCTGAAGAGGGCTTCACTCATTTGCCCACTCACTAGAGACTGGAGTACGTCAAGCGTAAGCAGAGCTATTTAGGCTTTGAGCAGAGTAGGACTGCGTGTTTGCTGCTTTTTTTTAAGAGAAGGACGAAAAGTTAGCTAAATGCTGTAGTCTAGATTATCCATTTCGAGAAAACTCCCTTAAACCAATTAATGAGCAGGGCAATCAACTGAGAACAAGTGGCTCTTCACCAGTGATTGAAGCTAGCTCGCCTACGACCATTCACTTTAGGATATTCTGTCTATGCTGCTTCGTCTCTGACGGTTACCTATTTTGCTCCCATAGCCACTCCTGCATACAGGAATTAGATTACGCTGAAAATTCTCAATATGTCTTTTAAGCGCAAGACTTCTCAACGACTCGTACTCAACGGCCCGATCATTATGTCAGCTTGTTGTGCCTTGTGCTTACCCGCAACGCAAGCGTTTACTTAATGAGCAGCCATTAATTCTTAATTTATGACGCAATCGAAGCACTTTATTTATTGCAAAGAAGTGCCTAAATTACTTTGTAAAGCTCAAACGTACGCATAAAAAAGCTGTGTCATAGATCAGGTTTTTTGCTCATACGTTCCACAACGAAGAACCGTAGTGACAAAGCAGTTACGTCTACGAAAGCTTGCGACTCAAATCCCCAAGAAGGTAAACCGGTCCCGGCCTTGTCTAACAAAGATATAAAATGACATGTTAATTGTAGCTTATATTTAATTTGTACATATTTGTTACCAATTAGTTAGGATAATTAGAAAGTAATAAGTATGAAAGTAAGAAGAAAGTAATAAGATAGGTAAAAGTGAGCTTTGTAACGGTAATCAATATTTTCATCTGTGTTTCTTAGTGTGAGCGATGAAAGAAACGCTTTATTTAAGCACGTAGTGATGTATTTAAATTTAGTTTACGCGATAATCCAAAGCCAAAATCTATTTTTTTTATGGTTATCAATCTTGCACCATCGTTTAATGCAAATCTGTTAAATGTATATTCGTCTACATACTAAACGCATAGGCATAAGGCCCTACGCGTACTATAGACCCACAAAAAAGTTCAGAAACCCTATAACTAGCGTTGTTTGTCAGTACGTCGTTAATGGCTTTAAACCTCTTCTTATTTCAAACCCATGCTACCGTCATTTACGCTTTAGCGAAATTTCCGTACAGGGACAACGTCGAAATTATTGAAGTAAAGTTGAAGCGAATTTCCTACTTGTGTGTCACCAGACAAGCTTGAATATTTTTAAGGTTCACGTACAGTCCAACTAGGTCTCTGATTATAGGCTGAACAAGACCTTTGCGCCAGGTTTAACAAGATGCTCTTGTCGGCCTTATCGGTTCTATATGAAGAATCCGTTGTTCGGTTTGCAACAGTCAGATGGTATAATGAATAACCTCGAAGTGCGTGGACAATACTTAAATACCATTTGCGGCCCTCATCAATCCGTGGGCCTATGTAACGTCGCCAAGGCCAATGAGAGGTTTCTACCAGGGAACTACGCACTATATATGTGGAGAAAATGTAATGTAAAACTAAACGCCTTGTAATTTCAAATGCGGGTGCCAAGGCGCTAAATGATCGAATGTCGCGTCCTTATTGTTATGTAGGATATACTTAGGGATATTGCGGAATATTGACGGCGCTCGAAGGTATTAACATTACAATAGCCTGGCGAGCCCGTATTGATTCAATCTTCGAAGCAAAAAAAATTTGGTTTAAGCTTCGTTATCATTATCAACTCGTATAAATATCTATTGGGTGTCCAGCTTGCAAAAATGGGAATAAAAGTTCATTTGCAAAAGCAAGGAGCAAAAGTGTCCAAAAATGAATGTAACAGCCTTAAGGCTTAGAAGTAGGTATTTTCATGTCGAAATTTTACATCCATAGCACAGTCGAACCTTACTGGAGATTCAGAGGATAAATTTCACGCTAAAACCTAAAAAGCACTAAGGCAAATTATGTAAATGTATAAACAACACATACCGATGAAGGCCATCATTGAAACACCATTTAGCAGCTTCTCTAACTTAGCCGCCACTAATGTTTAATTAAACCGATGTGCGGGCGTTCTTAACTACCCTATCGAATTTTACATACATTACGGTCGACACTTATATGTATTGAATATAAAAATATTAATTATATTTACAGATTTGTGCGTTGATCTAAGCTGTGATCTTGACTTTCGAACTTCCTGTGTGAAACCCGCTAAACAATATGTTCCTATATTCTTAGACATTTTTATATATTCTCTCATTTAGCCTGTCGTTTTACTGTGCGCTATTTAGACCTTTTAAGTGCTGCATATATTTAGGTTATGTGGCTGAAAACGACGTTGATGGAGATCACGATCGTGACGCTTTGTGATTAGCAGATGCCATATGTCTCACCCGTTCACAAAGAGCGGCCTTTCTATTCGACAAAACAAAGACAATTCATTACTATGTCATTACCACGAGGGGCAAATAAACATCTGTCACTATCCATTCAGCAGACCAGTGCAGTGTCCATGCTATCTACGGTGCATATAAATCCATCGAACTTCGTAAAATGTTGAAAACAAACTAAACAAACAATCGATCTTGAACCTTAGGACTTCCCGAAAGCAGAAGGCAGTGAAATACCAACTTATTCATCTTGAAGTTCCTCAAGAGTCACCATTCATTCCCAGTTGTTCATATTGAGTTACCTTTCAAACTGAAGTACTGAACTTCACGGCATTTTAGTTTCGTGCCATTCTTCATACTTGGCTCATTCCATTCGTTCATAGGATACGTTTATATTAAAAGTGTCGACAACGTCGCGTACTGGCCGTCGTTGGCCTATCTTGTCCATTTAAGGCCACCGACAGCGAGAGAAGCAAACATTCAACAAATGTGTACTCATTCAATGCTCTCCAGGAGGGGAATGCGACCAAGCCCCTTATCTTTACCAAAATTCGATCCCACACCTAACTGCAAGGAGTTGTTGCTTCGATGACTCCAAGGCATAAACTGTTCAATAGCCAACTTTTAATGCACAACCCTTTATTGCCTCTCGGATCCGACGTGAACTCCGCAAACATCAAGAACGTATAAAGTCAACAAAAAAGAAGAGGGCACTTCACTCGAGATAAAAAAAAACAGTACTGTAAACCGATATCCCATAACAGTACGGCCTTCATTGTTCCAACAGCCTAATTAACATATAATCTAGTGACGCTACTGCTGATTCCACAACGGTAGAAATTCATTCTTCTATCCTCAGGTGCAATTGCCCTCAGCGTAAATAGACATGCAGAACATTACGCAGTACACTGCCATTGCTACTATTTGTGGGCATTAGTTCTACTCTTCTATCCATAACACAGAACTAACCTTTGGAGCGCATAGTGTAGTAGAACATTTGACGAGTGGCGGCACTGAGAGACGACAAAAAACCCAACCAGGCCTGGAGGCTGGGACCAGACAGGGTATGGTCATTGACTTTATAAGCGTCTGACAAAACGCACGGGTGAAAGTCTCACTACTTTTATCCGAGTGCACACATACGGATGCGAGATGCGGAGATAAACAATGCTATAATGAAATGGGCTTGCAAAAAAAATTAAAACATTACAGAAACTGTTTGCATATAAACGTCATACTACCGCGTACAGAGTGTTGGCGATACTGATGTCGATGCTAATATTTAGGGCGAGATGATTTAGCAGTTGAATAAAATAAAAAAGAAATAAGAGTTTAGAGAAAATGTATTGCGGGCATACATACGCAGTAATTTGTCGAAATCTCGTAGACTCGATTTATCGTGTAGGTACGCGATGTATGGACATTTCAACATTTGAAGATTATCATATTGGTATCGTTCATAGCTTGCCGCCAAGTATCGGCAATATTAGTTGATAAAAATATGTGTAAAATGTCTAATAGAGTTGTTTGCTTGAAACAGGCGTATGTATATA